AATTGTTACATGCATATAATATTTGTCACTTTAATTCATCAAATGGTGAGATTAATATTAAGTCAATAAACTCGGTGAATTGGGAGACGATGTTATTTGTATGGTAAAAATTAATTATTAAAGGAAGCTATGTCCTAGTATTTAAATGGGTTGATAATGTTCTCTTGAGAAAACTCATAAGTTTTGTTCATGTCAAACCCTGCAGGTGGATTTAATTATCCGACATGACAAATTAGTTGAATGGTAAGGTCTTGAGGAATAAAAGAAGTCAATTAAATATAATTGTCAATAATTTATTTAATTGATGGACATCTGTAATCTTAAACGTGGGGAGATTATTAAGTATATAATAATAAGAAGTTTGAATATAATTTTGAAATAAGACTTAGGAGATCAATAATAAGTTTTTAGTGAACTAACTTATTATTAATGGGATGTAGGATATTTATTATGGATTGAACATAGGAATTTTAAGCCCATTGGAAGTCTGATCCCTATTTCTCCTTAGGGTTTATGTTGTAGCCTATATATAGACGTTTATGCTCTCTAATTCAACATATATTCTTTACTCCCATTTTTTAGAGAGGCTGAAAGGGAGAGCAAGAGTTTGGGTCCGCGCTGTCAATAGTTTTTGAAATTTTCGTTCGAACACCCACCTCATAAAATTTTATGGTGTTATGATGACAACAATATCTAGAACACCTCTTAAAAAACACAATGTATAGATTTCACTTACTCATGCTTTTGTTATGATAACGTAGTGTCAAGAAATTACATTTTAAAGTAGGCCATTATTAATAGATTCACAAGAACTCAATGCCATATGGGACATCAGCCAAGGAGGATCAAAGTAATGCTTATTTAGTTCAATTGCTTAAGAGTCCTTACCTTCACAAAAATCGTTACGATTGTAGCATAATGGAAATATATTGCATTGACACTTTAGTACACATAGTATGAAACTTATATTGATTCTTTGAGCTTTATGTCTACTAACGTCCAAAAAGGGGGTTGCATGACATTATAAAACCTATGGCCAACGTTCAAAACCAGAAAATCTAACCAATTTTCCTTGTTCACTCTTGTAACCCCTTGAAGTGAATTCCTATTCCTAAGTAGTTATTTGCGTTCTGCTCATGCTTATGAAAATGAAACTTGCACAACTTATTTTATATTTTCTAATTGTCATTTCAAGCATATGAATTAGTATATACAATGTTATCAGCTTTTTAGTGAATATATATCTTAAAAAAAATTGAAAAGTATGAATGGTCTCGCAAGAGTTGATTTGCTATTTATAAGATCGTTTGTGTTTACTTTCATTGTAAATTTTGAAAAAAGTTATTCATAACTTATACATTAATTTGTACTTAAAATGGTTCACATACAACGCACGCGTGCATCAACTAGTTTATTTAAATATATCTAAAAATTTACTTTTATTACCCATTAACTTTCAATGAATTTTTATTTAACTTCTTAAATGGTGGGAGTAAAGGAGAGAAAAAGATAAGAAAAGCAAATGAAAAAAAAAGAAGATAATAAGTTGTATATCTCGCACATCACACAAATGGAGGGCGTTAGTTTATCATTATTATTATAAAATATGAATTAATTGTAAGGTTCGGAAAAAGAACATAGCAAAACCCCTCTTATGGGTGTTCACTTTATCCTACGGGTAGGAAATATAGTCTTTCATCTTCCTACTTGATACTTTGTGGAAGAATTTTTCTTGACTAACTATACCCGATAAAGTGTAGTATTCTTACCCGACTTCCGTTCAAATTAATTGGGTAGAAAGTCGGGTAGGAAATCGGGTGAATACGTTTTGTAGTTATTAATTTTTGGATTATTTTAACAATTCAATTAAATAATCTGCACTAATTTAACAACACAATAAACCAATAACATTAAAACCTAAAATAATTATAATAACAATTACATCAAAATACAAGAAAGCCCAAAACATAAACATCAATCCATTATAATTGTTACACAAATACAATAACAATTATTTTAGATTTAAACCATACGAAACACATAAAAAATCATAACTACCTGCATATATACATATGCGGGTAGGTAAGATAGGAATACAAAAATTTGATGGGCATTTCGCATTCTTATCCAATTTAATCGGAATACCAAAAAATCTTTCACATTCCTACCCGATTTTTTTGATTAACTGATCAATAGGATTGTGTAGGGTCAAGTAAGGTTGAAAATTGCGAATAATTAAAAATTTGAACACCCCTAAACCCCCAAATAGATGGACTCGAAGAAATATATCACAACCCTCTCGAAAAGAGACATAAAAGAAATTAATTCATGGATTTGTCAAGAATTAACCCTCTCATCTCTTAAGAAATATCAAGAACGACCAACTAAATTAAGATCAGTTGACCTAAGAAAATATTGGATGATCAATTTATTCATTTCAATCAAGCAATCAATTTCTTGTTTTTTGTGTCAATTACAATACATTAATGTTGAGAAATTAAGGATTATTCAACCTATAAATTATTGAAGAGCTATGATCAATTTAAAAGTAACAAAATGACTTAATTTTGGCTTTGATATAGCTTGTATGTCAAATTTTTATATACACACGCAATATTAATTGATCAACTAGTCATCATCGACTTCTAAATAATCTAGACCCTCGTATAATTTTTGAAATCTCACCATTGGCTTATCGATCTGAAGTAATTTTAGATGAATTATACATGATTTAACATTGTGTTCTTAGTATAATAAAGTTTATACGGTCTTTTTTGTATTTAGTCATACAATATGCCACTGATAATGATTCTATTATGGTGCCATAATTCACAAACTAAATTTAACTAATCACTAATGTTTATTGGATTTGAAGGATACCAATTTGTTATGATTGGAGAATTGTCATGACTCTTGTTAAATAGCTAGGATTCTCCCGTGAGACTCCCACCCCCTTTTTTCTCCATAGTGCCAAATTATTTAGATATACAAATAGCGAAAAATGTATATATTGTGACATTTGAAAATTGAGCAATGCTATTGAGACATAATTTATGGATATAATTTAAGGATATAATGAGTTGTCACCAATGAAATGATGGTGAATTCATTTAATACTACAATGGGACCCATCATTAAATATATTTCACTATCATTTCATCGGTGACAATTCATTATGTTCCAATAGCATTAGTGTTGAAAATTATGTTTTTACCTTTAGTGCACCTCGACTAATTTTCTCTTTAGTCTGGTTAAAAACAGGTCATCTACACCGAAGTTAGGATATTCATCAGAAATAAATCCCTTAGACTTGACCCTAATAAATTATCAAAATTCAAACTCAAGGCGTATGATTTTACAACTCATTTATGTTAACATAACTTCTAAGTTAATAAAATTGTGTTTAAAACACCAACGCTGGTCACCACCAAATCTGCCATAAGAGACCTACTGTCAACACCCGATACCAACCCATGATCACACTATTAATCAATCGTCCCGAATATTTTACAATGTTAGTATCACCACCATTGACTAGAACTACAAAAAAAAAAAAAAAAGATTAATGTTATTTAAACATAAAAATTTGACCTAATTTATTGACATAATGATATGTTTTCAATAGAACTATTGAATCAATACAAAGTTCTAATATTTGATGAGCCCCACAGTCAATTCCAAGGTCATAGTAAATTAAGTTAGCAAATTAAGTCTCAATAGCACTATTCGTCATTCTTGGTAGTAAATAATGGACAAAAGGCTAATGTGACATTAGTAAAGGATTCAAACCTAGATAGCTTGGGAAAGAGTGTTGTTGTCATTTTATGACTTCTATTAGAACAAGCAGACGAACATCACTGACAGGGGAGCACATTGTTATTTTTCATACATGATGTGGTCTTATTGTTATTTGACTATACCTCAAGAGTAATAAATGTAATTTACCTATCTAATTCGAGCATATTGCATCTTCAACCATTCAATTTGTTTTACCTTTCTCAAATCATTAAATTTTCAACTTGTCATACTTTGCTACACGATGAATATATTAGACTTAAACCTAATCTATTTGAAGTCCAAAATTTAGTGATTTACATAGGAATCACGAATTTGAATAAATAAGAGCATGAATACTCTACTTAGCAAATAAAAGGGTAAATTAAAACTAATTCAAATTTTAAAGGGATGAAGTATAATTAACTTTTTTTTTTNATTAGACTTAAACCTAATCTATTTGAAGTCCAAAATTTAGTGATTTACATAGGAATCACGAATTTGAATAAATAAGAGCATGAATACTCTACTTAGCAAATGAAAGGGTAAATTAAAACTAATTCAAATTTTAAAGGGATGAAGTATAATTAACTTTTTTTTTTTGGTGTAGTTCTAGTCGATGGTGGTGATACTAACATTGTAAAATATTCAGGACGATTGATTAATGAGTAATCCTATTTGTATTTAAAATTTTCACCTAATTTACTAACATAATAATGTAGTTTCAGTGGAACTATTGANTTGTAAAATATTCAGGACGATTGATTAATGAGTAATCCTATTTGTATTTAAAATTTTTACCTAATTTACTGACATAATAATGTAGTTTCAGTGGAACTATTGGATCAATACCAAGTTTCAATATTTGATGAAACTCACAATTTATCCAAAAATCATAGTAAATTAGGTCAAATAGCATTGCTCCATCATGTGTAGGTCACTGTTTAAGTTTGATATGTTGTCATTAATGGCGACACCAAAACTCCCCACTCTTCCCTCCGCAGTTCCCCTTCGAAAATTCATTGTCGGAATCTTTCAAAGTTTTGATTTGTTGCCACCATTGTGCTATGGTGCCTCTGAATCTAGTGATTGGGTTTGGATGGGTTTTATGCAACTAGACTCTGTGGAGAGTTGTAGAGATAAAAGCTAACAATTAGCCCCTTCATTCTCTGCAATTTCGTTGGCTAATGTGTGTGTGTGTGTATAATATGTCTCTCCCTCTATATATGTTTTTGGTTGAAGATGGATTGAATGAGTTTAGTGGTGATGAGATTAGTAGGCAGATGGAGGCATCAGGGGAGGGGGAGTTGTCGCGTGTTTTGAGGCAGAGGGATTGGTAAGTTATTGTATGGGATCGGGTGGAATGGTCACAGTGGTGTGGGTTAGAGGGTTAACTGGTTGGTGATGGGGGTCGTGAGTGGGGAAGGTCAAAGGTGGAGGAGCTTTAGTCTTTCCTCATCCCCTCTCTTCTTTCTCTCTCACACATACACACTCACTCTCTTTCTCTCTTCTGTTATAGGGGTAACAAAATATTGATTATTTTTGCAAATTAATGGGTTTCAATAGAATTTGATGAGTGATAGANTATGGGATCGGGTGGAATGGTCACAGTGGTGTGGGTTAGAGGGTTAACTGGTTGGTGGTGGGGGTCGTGAGTGGGGAAGGTCAAAGGTGGAGGAGCTTTAGTCTTTCCTCATCCCTTCTCTTCTTTCTCTCTCACACATACACACTCACTCTCTTTCTCTCTTCTGTTATAGGGGTAACAAAATATTGATTATTTTCGCAAATTAATGGGTTTCAATAGAATTTGATGAGTGATAGAACTAAGATTAGTATTCATTCATGACAAAAATGGATTTTTTCCACTGGAGGGTGTGGTGGAATTGGGCCAAAAAAGGGAATGGAGTAGTGGTCTATGGTTAATAGTGGTGATTAGTTGCCATTGGTTCAGATAGACACATGAAGAAGAGTATAACTTTAGGGTTGAGAGGAAGAATGCCCAATAAAAATGTTAAATGGGTCCATTAGGATAAGGGTAAATTGCACTGTTAGTCCCTGAGGTTTTACACTTATTGCACTAAAGTTCTAATTTCAGCAATTTCATACTCCATGTTACAACATTGACTGACTTTCGTCCTTACCCTTAACTGTTGTCCAAAAGAGTGACAAAAAATGGCACGTGAGCGGCATGTGATGGAGTTAGAANCCTTAACTGTTGTCCAAAAGAGTGACGAAAAATGGCACGTGAGCGGCATGTGATGGATTTAGAAGGGCAAAACTAGTCATTTAATGGTCTTTTCCGCCCATTTACCCTCTTCAGTTGCCTGAGGATTTTTTTATTTGTCTTTCCTACCTAGGGTTCACTATTGGATTTGGGGATTTTGTCTTCTTCTTTTAGTGTTGTGGAAATCAAGAGTAGTTTCTTACCTAAGTATGGTTTCAGATACTCCTATAATGGCTAGCTGGTTCAATTGTCAACGATGTGAAAATGATGACTTCAATGTAGAATACGGTAAATCAAGGACCATTAAAGCTTGAATAAATTTGTTATTCACTCTTTAACACATCGATTTTATTGAAAAAAAAATTCATGAATTGGATGATACGAAGTAGTTCTTGCATGTAATATGTGATTATCTTATACAAATTTTTTGTTTTATATGCATGTGGTCCCCAGATTTGTTTTGTTTTATATGCATATGGTCACAACGTTTGATAATTTTGTGGTACCCATTATGTTTTGCAAAGCCAAATTTCAAATATTTTACACTGAAAATACATCATGATGGGGTGTTTCGAGACAGCTCACATAAGAAATATGTTGGAGGTAGGGTCGACGACTTCCACCACAGACATCCAGACTTAATGTTTTTACTGGAACTCAATGAGATGGTAAGGGGTTTAGGATATGATGAAGAGATTCTTAGGTACCATTATCTGATACCAGACAAAAATTTGGATGATGGTTTGATTTTACTATATAATGATACGCAAGTGTTCACAACGTTTAATTCATTATATCCCAACACAATTGTTGATGTATGTATTGAACATAGATCATTGTTTAATGNGTTTTTACTGGAACTCAATGAGATGGTAAGGGGTTTAGGATATGATGAAGAGATTCTCAGGTACCATTATCTGATACCAGACAAGAATTTGGATGATGGTTTGATTTTACTATATAATGATACGCAAGTGTTTACAACGTTTAATTCATTATATCCCAACACAATTGTTGATGTATGCATTGAACATAGATCATTGTTTAATTTATTTGATGAGGAATGGGTAAGAAATGATGTAGATACTGGGATTAGGCATTCTGTTATTATTGAGGAAATCGATGATGAAGATTTCAATGGTTTAGAGGAAAGTCAAGTAACTACTGTATCTAGTATAGAAAATAAAAAGCAACCATATTTGCTAGAGTATGGTGAGAAGGAAAGAGTTGGGATTGAAAGAGACAGTACAACAGTTGGGGGTGACATAGAGAAAGAAAGAGTTGGAGTTGAAAGAAATAGTGCAACAGTTGGGGATGACATAGAGAATGAGAGAGATGGGATTGAAAGAGATNTTTGCTAGAGTATGGTGAGAAGGAAAGAGTTGGGATTGAAAGAGACAGTACAACAGTTGGGGGTGACATAGAGAAAGAAAGAGTTAGAGTTGAAAGAAATAGTGCAACAGTTGGGGATGACATAGAGAATGAGAGAGATGGGATTGAAAGAGATAGTGGAACAATTGGGGGTGACATAGAGAATGAAAGAGTTGGGGTTAAAAGAGACAGTGCAACAATTGAGGGTGACATAGAGAATAAAAGAGTTGGGGTTGAGAGAGACAATACAATAGTTAGGGCTAACATAAAGAATGAAAAAGTTGAGGTTGAGATNGGTGACATAGAGAATGAAAGAGTTGGGGTTAAAAGAGACAGTGCAACAATTGAGGGTGACATAGAGAATAAAAGAGTTGGGGTTAAGAGAGACAATACAATAGTTAGGGCTAATATAAAGAATGAAAAAGTTGAGGTTGAGACAGACAATGAAACTTCTGATGGGCCTAATTTTCATGATAGTGAATATGATGTAGAAGAAGATGAGAAAATATTTGAGGTTTATATTGACATAAATGCTAAATGGGCAGGTGTGACTAACATTGGGAAGGGTGTGAAAAAGGAGGAATCAACAGACCATGGTGATGCTAAGAATAATGGTGTTGAGTCTGATANATGAGAAAATATTTGAGGTTTATATTGACATAAATGCTAAATGGGCAGGTGTGACTAACATTGGGAAGGGTGTGAAAAAGGAGGAATCTGCAGACCATGGTGATGCTAAGAATAATGGTGTTGAGTCTGATAATGCACCATCTAATGGATTGTTGAGTATAGATGGTTCCTCATCAGAAGATGATAATAATAAAAGGAGAATGTCAAAGTACTCTGAGTTTAGGGCTGAGACTGATATGAAGAATCCAACATTCAAGTTAGGGATGCTTTTTGGATCACCTGTTGAATTTAAAGAAGTAGTAAAAGAATATTCAATTAAGGAGGGAAAACAAATAACCTTCAAGAAAAATGATCAGGTGAGGGTTAGAGCAGTCTACAAGAGAAAGTGCAAGTGGATGATTTTTGCATCTGTTATTGATGACAACAAAANAGGGCTGAGACTGATATGAAGAATCCAACATTCAAGTTAGGGATGCTTTTTGGATCATCTGTTGAATTTAAAGAAGCAGTAAAAGAATATTCAATTAAGGAGGGAAAACAAATAACCTTCAAGAAAAATGATCATGTGAGGGTTAGAGCAGTCTGCAAGAGAAAGTGCAAGTGGATGATTTTTGCATCTGTTATAGATGACAACAAAGCATTCCAAGTCAAAACATTCAATGGTAAACATACATGTGGCAGGTCATTTAAGAACCCAATGACAAATTCTAATTGGCTGGCCAAAACTTACCTGGATGACTTTAGAGGGAATCCCAATTGGTCTGTTAAGGCAATTATAGAAAGGGCAATGAAGGAGCATCAACTGAGTTTTTTCTAGGGATCAATGTTACAAGGCAAGAAAAAAAGCTATGCAAATTGTTAAAGGTAGTCATGCAGAGCAGTATGCTAAACTATGGAATTACTGTGATGAATTGAAGAGGACTAACCCTAGTAGTACTATAGTAATAAAAATGGATGATGTGTCTAAGATGGAATGTGAACCTAGGTTTGAGAGATTGTACATATGTTTAGATGCATTAAAGAGGGGATTTAAGGAAGCATGCAAACCTGTGGTGTGCTTGGATGGATGTCATTTGAAAAGTACACATAATGGACAACTACTCTCAGCAATTGGTGTAGATGCTAATAATAGCATGTACCCAGTTGCTTATGCTATGGTTAAGATGGAGAGCATAGACACATAGAGACGTTTTCTAACCATTCTGGTAGAAGATCTGGAAATAACCAATACACATGGTTGGACTATAATGTCTAACAAATAGAGGTTATGTTGGTTAAATAATTGTTTTGTCAAACATGTTCGTTTTACAATTGTTATAGCATAACTAATTGATTTTTGAATGTTTGTATATGGATTGGAGCATGCCATTCATGAGTTGCTTCCTGATGTTGAACATAGGCACTGTGTTAAGCATCTACACAACAATTTCAAGATTAAACACAAGGCAAAGACACTAAAGGACATGGTTTGGGCTGCTGTAAGAGTAACTTATGTCAACCAATTTCATGAGAATATGATGAAAAATGAAGATTCACAGGCATTTGCCTCGTTCGAAGATAAGCATTCAAGGAACTGGTCTAGGTCACACCTCAACACCTTATGTAAGTGTGACCTACTTGTGAATAAAATGTATGAATGTTTCAATGCTTATATAACTGGGGCAAGAGACAAACCCATTATATTAATGTTGGAGAGGATAAAACACTTACTGATGAAGATGTTGTTTGCAAAGAGATATATAATGAAAAAATGGGAGGGTAAGATATGCCATAAAATCCAGGAAATANAATGTTTCAATGCTTATATAACTGGGGCAAGAGACAAACCCATTATATTAATGTTGGAGAGGATAAAACACTTATTGATGAAGATGTTGTTTGCAAAGAGATATATAATGAAAAAATGGGAGGGTAAGATATGCCATAAAATCCAGGAAATATTAGAGAAGAATAAGAAAAAAGCTTTTTTTTTTTGCATTGCTTATTGGTCTGGAGGATCACAACTTTGAGGTTAAGCAATGTTATGGAGATTGGTTTGTTGTGGATGTGAATGAACATACTTGTACTTGTAAAAGATGGGATTTGATTGGCATCCCATGGTCACATGCAATCTAGCTAATTGCATACAAAGGAGATAAGCCTGAGGATTTTGTGGATAACTGGTATACGAAGGACATTTACCTTNCATTGCTTATTGGTCTGGAGGATCACAACTTTGAGGTTAAGCAATGTTATGGAGATTAGTTTGTTGTGGATGTGAATGAACATACTTGTACTTGTAAAAGATGGGATTTGATTGGCATTCCATGGTCACATGCAATCTAGCTAATTGCATACAAAGGAGATAAGCCTGAGGATTTTGTGGATAACTGGTATACGAAGGACACTTACCTGNGGTCACATGCAATCTAGCTAATTGCATACAAAGGAGATAAGCCTGAGGATTTTGTGGATAACTGGTATACGAAGGACATTTACCTTAAGCTTATGAGAAGATTATTCATCCAATAAATGGGTCCAAGCTATGAGTTAAGTCAAATGAAGTTTCTCCTCTACCTCCATTTCACCATAAGCAGGTAGGTAGGGCAAAGAAATTGAGAAGAAGAGAACTAGATGAGCCAACAAATCACAATCCAAATCCCCCAAAACTAAGAAAAATTCAGATTTCATTGAATTGTGACAAGTGGTGAAAAGGGACACAACTTATGGAAGTTGTAGGGCAAGTTCTGGAATTGCTATTGCTCAAACTTCTGGGTCTGCTCAAACTTCTAGGTCTACTACTGCTTAAACTTCTGGGATTGCTACTCCTGAAACTTCTGGGACTGCTCAAACTTATGGGACTACTCCAACTTCTGCATAGAGAATTGTGAATAGGAGTGGAAACATAGCATCAACACAGAGAAGTGTGCGTAGGAGTGGAAACACAACTACTACTACTACAACAGATGTGACCAAAGAAAAGGTTGCAAATGCAAGTGTTGGAGTTGAAAAAGGTGTTCAGTCACATAGGAAATAGAAGTTACAGGTCAAAAGAAATGTTATCCCACCAACATCATCACAATAGTTAAAAACAACCTCTATCTACTCCAAATATTGCACCATTCTTGTGGAAAGGTCAAAGTTGTACAACCCTTACATCACTTCAATCAATAGCAAAAAAGGGGAAGAATGGAGGGAATCCAAATAATGGTGATGTGAAAGCCAAGGGGAAAGGGGTATAATACAGATAATGGTGTAGATGCCTCATTTTTGGGTCCTAGTGGAAGGAGTTGTTCCAGTAGTTGTTTTTGCAGACAATGTAATAGAATTGGGTAGCTTGAACATTGTCTATGAACTACTCTTTTGTTTATGTACACCTATTTTGCCTCTTGTATTCTTGTATTTTACATAATACATTCCATCAAACAAATAAGCAAGTCTTTGGAAAAGAAGACAAGAGAACTTCATTCATAATTAAATGGCACAAATGTCTTTTCTCAATTACATAAACAACACATTCTTCTAAACATCTAAACAAACCCTTCTGGACTAAACAAAACACTAGGACTAACCAAACAACACATGAGATTCTTACTATCCTAATTCATAACTAGGTGCAGGATTACTCTCTGTGTTCTTGTTCACGCCCAAGTTCTTCCAGTTCATCAACACCACCGCCCATGTCAGAATCAGCAAGATCCCAAACACCTTCTCTCTATGTCGAATTCTTGTCAACTGTGCTTCCATTCTTTTGATTCTCACTAGCAAGCTAGGAATGATGTTCTTCGATCGGTTACACATGGGAGTGTCAAACTATTCAAAATACCCACATCCTCCACTTTACTGCGTACAACAAACAACAAAAATATTATCCAACCTTCGAAAAAATTAAGTAATTCAAAACAAACCAACTAAAAGTTACCGTATGATTCTCGCAGCGAAGGAATCTCCTACCAAGATTTTGATCTGTCCAAAGAAGTAAACATCCTTGTCATTCTCCCACAATAGCAAGACATATGTTCCATTTTCTTCTTCTTTCAGCTAGCTGCTCCATTGCTCTTCGTCTTTGTCGTCCTTAGACTGGCTTGTGGTTAATATGGTTCAACTGTTAGCTCGGGCTAGCTATGGGAACACAACTGAAGAGTTAAATGGCGGGAAAGACCATTAAATGACTAGATTGCCCTTCTAACTCCATCATATGCCGCTCACGTGCCATTTTCCGTCACTCTTTTGGATGACAGTTAGGGGTAAGGACAAAAGTCAGGCAATGTTGGAGGACGAAATTGCTGAAATTAGAACTTCGGAGATGAAAGTGCAATAAGTGTCAAACCTTACGAACTAACGATGCAATTTACCCTTAGGATAATGTTGGTATTCTATAAAAACAAGTTGGTTACATCATTAAAACTATAAACGAGAATTACATTCAGACCTCTTAAGATTTATTACTTAATTATTTAAACTCCTTGATATTTAAAATATTATAGATAAACCCCTTAAAATTTGTACACACGCAACACTTAAACTCTACTATCAAATGTTTATTAGTATAACCGTTAGTAAATTACACTTAAATCTCTTGAAATTTGTAAATGTATAACACTCAGATCCTTTAAGTTTAAAATGCAATATTTAGATAAAAAAAAGTACTCCAATTAAAGAAAGAATATAAAATATTTTAAATTTTACAACTAAAATTCATATTCTATTGTATCATTTATTGAAATAAAATCAAAAATAAAAAGTCAATTTTTTCTTTAAAAATCGTAATTAGTATATAATAATACTATCTATTGAAATAAAACTAAAAAATCAAATAAGGGGTCTAAGTCATTCATTATAGAATATGAATTTTACGATCAAAATTTATGTTCTATTATGTCATTTATTGAAAAAAATTAAAATTAAAAATCTAATTTTTTCTTAAAAAATCATAATTAATATACAATTATACTATCGATTGGAATAAAATTAAATAAGGGGTCAAATTATAATAGACACAATATATTATACCTTTAATTGAGGTTAATTTCAATAGATAGTATAATTGTATACTGATTATGATTTTTTTAAAAAAAATTAAATTTTTATTTTTAATTTTATTTCAATAAATGTCATAGTAGAACATGAATTTTTGTTGTAAAATTTAAAATATTTGATATTTGATATTTACTTAGTTTATTTTTGGTGTAAGTATATCATTTTAAACTTGAAAGATCTAAGTATTCTATCCTTTCAAATTTTAGGAGGTCTAGATGCAGTGGACTAACGAATATATTAACGGTAAAAGTTTAAGTGTTATATGTGTACAAACTTTAGGAAGTTTATATGTAATATTTTAAATGTCAAGGTGTTAAATGATAAATCTTAAAGAGTTTGAATGTAATTCTCCCAAACTATAATTTGTCTTTAACCATTCATTAACGACCGAGAGAATATATGCTACAGACAACTAAAATAGAAGGGAGTGGAGTGTTATTTTTCATACATGAGGGGTCTTGTTGTCATTTGATCATAACTCAGAAGGTGAATTAATTAGGAATAAGGGTTTGTACTATATTAATTAGGAATTAAAAAATAATAATTATGACTGTTTTCCATTTTTTTTATCAATCACCATTGGTAAGAAACCAATTGTAGCAAGCACAGTCAACATCCGAGTGCAGACTAACATTTCCCTTTTATAGAATCCCCAGAGTATCTACCCCTGACGCCTCCGGTACATCTCTTTCTCTTCCGCCTATAATACAGTCCACTGCGGCGGCGAGTAATATATCTTCACGGCAATCTCTGGCGCTTTCTCTCTCTAAAATCTAATCATTCGTCAGTTTGTAGAGAGAGACAGTCACCGAGCTTGATCATGTCATCGATTCAGACGCTTTTCCTACAATGCGGCTCTTCTTCAATTCCTTCTTTCCCGTCCTCTTCTTCGCTGAATCCTCGCGTTTCTGTAAAATTTAACGTTTCTTGTTCATGTTTGCCGTTGCCGGTGACTGTCGTTAATGGAAATGTAGACAAAGCAGCTCCGGAGAGGAATGAAATTCGCCTCGGTTTGCCAAGTAAAGGTCGAATGGCGGCCGACACTCTCGATCTTCTCAAAGTACTCTCTTTCTCTCTCTCTCCATGTATCTTTGTGTATATACGTATACAATGTGTACACACGAGTGGTTGTTTATATGTATTCTTGTGTGCATATAAGCTGTGGTTATGATCTATTGAAAATTATTTTCTAAGGAAGATTATCTTTTTCCCAATCTTTGTGTGCTAATTCCGATAAATTTATTCATTCCTTCCTTCTGTCTATGCAACTAACTTCATTTTTGTGGGCAAATTTTAAAAGGATTGTCAGCTGACAGTGAGGCAGGTGAATCCTCGGCAGTACGTAGCCGAAATTCCTCAGGTGCGTGACTCTGTTACAGCAGTAATTTGTTATAGATTACAATTTGTTGATTGCTTCCAATCTCAGTTCAACGCATGCTCTAAATTTTTTTAGCTGTGCTATTTTAAAGCTATTTAGGAGAAATTATTATGCTGACCATATTGTGGTAAATTTTGAAATCAAGTGTGACNATTTGTTGATTGCTTCCAATCTCAGTTCAACGCATGCTCTAAATTTTTTTAGCTGTGATATTTTAAAGCTATTTAGGAGAAATTATTATGCTGACCATATTGTGGTAAATTTTGAAATCAAGTGTGATTGTCACGGAATCTATCTGATAAGCATCTTTTGTCAATTCCAGCATCTGTCTTCATCCATCCTTTTTGTCACACCAAAATCTGCACAGTCTGAACTTGCTATTTGAGTGTCTCATACTTATTTAGTCAGAAAAAGGGTTCTTAACCTTCCCCCCAAGTTTTTGTTGAATTGATTGTTCCTATCGTGCAATAACTGTATATTTTTTCATTTTTTTTTTTGGCATTTTGTTTACATGTGTTGTACTTGTCATGCATGTGTTCCAAAATTTTCTTGTAGACATGCTTATGTCCTGGACATGACATATTTGTTACTGATTTTTGCAGCTCGCAAATTTAGAAGTATGGTTTCAGCGGCCAAAAGACATTGTACGAAAATTGGTTTCAGGAGATTTAGACCTTGGTATTGTTGGTCTTGATACAGTTAGTGAATATGGACAGGTAATTATTAAAATATAGTGTGATGAAATTAGGAAAAGTCATAGCAACTTAAGAGTTAAATTTGAGAAGCAAGTAGTTGATGTATTCTCATACATGTTTAAGTTAACAATTAAGTACAAATCCTTGTGCATCCTAATTGACATGAAGCATCTCTAAATTGATGACAATCTGCTTTACTCATTGTACTACGATATATCATAAGCAAGTGCTATATACTTCTAAATCTGATGAATTAGCAGTGTGTATTCAATTTAACATTGTTTAAATGAAGTTGATGGATGCTTCAATAATGCGTGAGGTTGTTTTCTTTATCCATTGGCTCTAGAAGATTTCTCCTGTGCTATATTTTGGGAGTTGGATGCAAGGGTATTTTGTCTTTTTGAATAATTGATCTCTGAATGGATTATACTTCTTAATTTTGCAATCAATCAATGCTTTATGCTTTTAAACTTTTAGTGTAGAGCTTCAGAATACATGATTGCCCAGGATTCAAAGGTGGACATGGCTGTAGTATAAATGGTTGGCAATAGAGGATTCATAAACTTCATTGGCTCAGTTCTTCATAAGAGTAACTTTTTTGAAAGATATTGTGAGATTGCATTGAGGTCTCTCATTCTCACTTTTAGTAAACTTGATTCGATTGTTATTCTGAATATGAATTGTTAAAGATTTTATTCGGGGTTGCTCCCTTGAAATTTCAATCTATTGTTATATGGTACGGAATGTTGGGCAACTAGGAAACAATATAGTGACAAAATGAGTATAACGGAAATGAGAATGGTAAGGTGGATGTGTGAAACATCTAGAAAGAATAGAATACAAAATGACCGTATTAGAGAAATGGTAGAAGTAGTGCCAATTGAGGATAAGTTGAGAGAGAATAGATTAAGATGGTTTGGTCATGTTCAGCGGAAGCTGATGGAATCACTGGTTAGAAATTTTTTAATGGTACTAGGAGAAGGGGTAGATCTAAATTAATATTGAATGAAATAATATGAAAATATTTAACTTAAATGAGTGTATAGCTTATGACTGAAATGAATGACGAAGACAGACTCATACAGCTGAAACCAAATGATTGAGACATAAAGCTTGATTTGGTTGGTGGAAAGATCCAAATCTTTGGAAGTAGGGCAGCCTTTAGGTCTTGTCATTATCATGTCAATTAGATTCATCCTAGTTGGTTATGCTTTCTTGAGACTAAGAGTGATGTTTTTTACATAGTAAATGGCCATTATACGACTGGAAATTGATATCAGTAAGACGATGGTTAGAGTTGTGAAGATCAATTTTATTTCATTGTGGTTATTGATGTGGATCTTATGCACTTCGAAGATTATGAAAATGGGTTAAGTGGTATGTTTTTGAGTATGTTTTTAAATTTTTTTTTTTCTTTTTGTGGGGAAAGTGGAAGGGAGGGGGGATGAGGATGAGGTTTGAATCGGCAACCATTAGGAGCGGGAGTGAACCCTTACCACTTGGCCACTCCCTCACCTGAACATAAGTTTTTGTAAGACGGGTTTTTTTGGAGTGGTAATTTTGGAGTTAAAATTACTATATTTTGAATTTGCATAGGTGAGAGAGACTATGGTGTGTGAGAATCTGATTTATCTGGAGGATAGTTCATTGAACAACCAAAATCTAGGATTGGCATGATCTTTCCTGTTGGAAACATGGATAGGGCTGATACTGGAGATTCATAATTAGGTTTTAACAGAGGATAAGAGCTGTGATCCAACTGAGGCAACTTTAGCTTTTGGATAAATATTAATCTTCTAGATAGTTTATGTCAGGAATGTGAAAGAACTGCAATTAATACACGTGAATACTGTAATGTTATATATCAATAATTTGGAAGGATGCTGAAGTTTAAACAAGTCTTATTTACTATGAAGGGCTTAAATTTCTTGTTTTGAATGCTTTCTTCTCTCCCTGTTATCTTTTCTGGGTTCTTTCCCGAGGCTAGATGTGTTAGCTTTGCCTCATAATTGATTTGGTTTGGTTGAGTTGAATGCTTGCAGCTTGACTATTCTGGTGGTTGATTAATCAACTCTTTTGTTGAAATGATTTCAATTATAAGATGGCAGACACTGAAACCACTTGAGCTTCTTGATTTTCTTCGACAATAGCTAATAGAAACTGGAAATAGGGCATATATGACAGCATTCATCTTAGAAATCTTCTAAATCAGTTTGCAGTATTGTTTGGTGCTGTGATTTCTAGATCTTACTTTGGTACGGCTTAAATTTCAATTGTGCAATTTGATTGAATGTAAAAATTTTAACATTGGCATTTTGTATCTGAATTACTGTCGACAGGGGAACGAAGATCTAATCCTTGCTCATGATGCACTTGAGTATGGAGATTGTCGTTTATCTCTTGCAGTATGCCACTGTTCACTTTTTAAATTTAATCTTTTTGGTCACTGATTGCCCCACAGTTGCTTCTATAATATGCCTTTTTTTTTTCATTTTCAGATACCAAAATATGGGATTTTTGAGAATATAACTTCATTAAGGGAGCTAGCACAAATGCCTCAGTGGACAGCGGATAAACCTTTGAGAGTTGCCACTGGATTCACTTATGTATGTTGTGTTTTGGTGTTTTCTATTTTATCGCTGCTCAGTTTTCCCCCTGGCAACTAATTTTGTTTTGTACCTTTTCGTTAGAAGATTGAATTGGATTTCCTTTTTTTTTTTGTGGTCCCCAGCTGGGTCCTAAATTTATGAAAGAAAATGGATTGAAGCATGCTACTTTCTCAACTGCTGATGGAGCACTGGAGGCAGCTCCTGCGGTGAGAATTACTTCTTTACTATATAATTTGATAGGGTTACTATCCTTTGTGGAAGCATGATACATACATGATACAACACACAAAATTCCCTTTCCTTTTTTTTTTTTTTGTTGGGGGAGTTGGCAATAATTTTAAAAGCGATGCATATCTAGTCT